TGTTTTTGCACAATTTTTCACTTTCATTTGGCAGCACCGTTGGCCGCCGCATAAAGTTTCGGGCAAGGCTAATTAGGGGCCCCATAAAAGTTGTAGCTTCAGTTTCAGTTTCAGACCCACCTGTACTGCCGTGCCGCATTTAGATCGTCCTCATTGCACACTTGGATCTTCTGTATGAGGCGGTATAGAAACGATTTTTGAAATGTTTGCTGAAAGTAATAATTCTGAAACATTTCACGTGACTGGCAGAGGTACGCTCGCCAGCAGGGTTTCCGGATTACTAAGGCTCTCCCCTGTGGCAGTCTGTTCTTTTATTTTATCGATATACGCGAATAATATGATTTAAAATGCATCGGAACATACTGAATATTTTATGCCGGAATACGGCAATTTCTGCCCTCCCCAGAGACAGGTGCAACAAACAGCAAGCAGCCAACAGCAGCAGCAGCAGCAGCTTTGATTCTGACGTGTCTGTCGTGCTGGCAGCTCGTCTTTCTTTTCTTTTCATTTCTTTTTTTTTCTTTTTGGGTCAGCAAACATGCGGCAGTGGCGTTGGAGCAAAGGTGTCTGAGTCCCCGGCACATGCAAATGAATCCAAGACCCGACCCTCCCATTATGCGAGAAGACTGAGTGTTGGAAAGGGAAAGAAGGGAAAACGAAACAGATTCTAGGAAGAAAAAAAGAACAGAATTCGCCACATGCAAATATGAGCTCAGAGCTGAAAGGAAGGAAAAAGTGGAAAAGGTTCCATAGGAAGGCTTTCTCTACGAATGGGAACGACTGTCAAATTTTTGGGCATGGAAAGCACCAAACAGAAAGTAAATTATGGAAAGAGAAATAGCTACTAATGGTAGGCGTTTTTAAAGAGAGTTCTAGGCGAGTTCCCAGCAGAAGGTGCTATGAAAATGATCTGAAATTCAGTCGTTCCAAAATTATAGAAATTTTCGATATTGAAAGAATGCTGAGAAAAACTTTGCTGAAAGAAAGAAATGTTTTAGTTGTGTTCTGCTATTTTAAGGCTAAGCTGCTAGTATTTTTTGGATGGGGCGTAAGCTTTGTGGCTAGTTATTCTGATTAATGTTGGGGGGGACATATTCCCTGACAACTGTTGCTCTATGGGCAATTTTCTGTGTTGGCGAGGGAGATTTTTATGTGTTTTGTGCAGAAATAATATACATATGGTCTCCATACATTTATGAAATTTAATTAAATTTAATTTGAATAATAATCGGAATTTGCGGAATTTAGCTTATGTAAGGATTGTAGCTTATGTAGAAACTACGAGTATGTGTGTAGATTGATAGACAGATATATAAAAGTATAATCGCTTAATTAATTTAATTACCAAAAATATAATATTTTGCTTATTTACGACACATGTGAATTGCACGGAATGGCATTACATTGCATTAATATGCACTCATTTTTGTATGCTTATAGTCTCCTCTCCCTCACGGTCAACCCATCCATGTTCTCCCCTTCTCCCTCTTCCCTTATGGAGCATTAGCTGGATACAACTACGATACATAAGCAAAAGCAAGAACAGCAAAAAAAATGATGTCATCAGGTACGGCCCTCAAGCCACTCTTAGAATGTTCGAGCATTAAGTCATTGCACTCTTAGTCTTCTACCTGCATTAGCTAGAGAGAATCATAGAAAAGACATCGCGATGATCTCATCTCCGTGTCCGTTGCTTAAATCTGGCGAAAATTCCTACGCACCAGAAAATATATATGTATGTATGTAGGTTGCAAAATCAGCTCAAATTCATTTGAGCATTATTAAAATGCAAAGGTAATTCTACACTAGACTCCGCACTATATTATTTATTATTTTGTACGTTATATTATACAATATTTTATACATTTCCATTCAAAATACATTTCTATATTTATTTCTAGGCCCTAAGGGCGGAGGATCATAACTCTTTTTGATTTCGTCAGAAGACAGAAAGAGAATTTATTTCATTCTCCGTTTGCTTTTGCTTTTGTGCAATAGTAAAATGTAAGGTAATTCTACTCTTGACTCACTACTTCATATTATATATTATTCATATTTTCACTCCTATTAGGAAAGGCAGAAAGAGCCCTAGCAGTTTTCCAATATTATCTGGTATTTTGTTATATATTCTAGAATTTTGGAATATTTTTTGAATATATTTTCAGATATTTTTCTGGTATTATTTCTGTTTTTTTTTCTGCTTCCCCACAACTTTTGGGAAAAATGTATAGAACTATTTAATTGAGTTCTTGCTTCAAACCGCAATCGATTTATTTATCCATCATCTGATCCTCTACCCACTAATCTATGTAGTATCTATGTATATCTATGTATCTATGTAGTATTTCTTTTAGATCTATTTGCTTTTCGTTCTATTTGACAAATACTTTCTCCCATCCAAACCACATTGCTCTCCACACCGCGAAGCTCATTCCTTTGCACTCCCCTTCAAAACCACATTCAATTTCCCCCTTGTAAGCTGGGGGACGGACTGCTTAAAATGATTTCAATCAAACACAAATATTGCCAAGCACAAATACGTGTACAACTTTCTAGATATTTTTCCATATTTTTCTGTTGCAGCTGCAGTGCAAATGGCGTTGACATGTGCCCAAAGGGGGTACCACTCCCACTCCCACTTCCACTCCGTCTGTCTGTTGTGTCTGTCGAATGTCTATCTGTCCGTAGAAGCATTAAAAACCGCTAAATCATCCGCTGCTGCCACTGCCGCTGCCAATAAGTATGCAATTTTCCCATTTCGAGCTGCTTGTCGGGGCTCTGTATGGATCCTGTGTATCCTGGAGGATGGGGAAACCCAAACAAAAAAGTCAAACAAAGCGACCAAGCGCATATCAATGCATTTTGATGTCTGTGTACTAGCTCTTTCTTTTCTTTTTCTTGCATTTCTCTTTGCTTTTCTTCTATTTTTCCTGTCCCTTCCCCTTTTTTCCACCCTGCACATTTTCCTTTTGATTGAATTTCAATTTGATTGGAGTTTTCTCCCTCCCCGGTTTTTTCCCCTTCCCTTTTTCGATGATGGAGTTTTTTGTGTTTGTTGAGTATGAATAGTTGTCTGGTTTCGGGGGCTTTTCCTACAAGTTATCTTTGTTTGAATGCAGCTCATTTTGCTGTCAATTGTGGCCAGTTCAAGGGGAGGGACTTTCATCTATTAAAGAATTAACCTTAAGGTTAATTCATACACTCCATTCAGTCGGAGCGAACACAAAACAAGGTTTTTCTTTTTACCCAACTCGAGGTTAAATCAAAACAATATCAGGGCCAAAAACTTATGAGTTATCAGTCCCGCCAATCTTCAAGTTCAAGTTCGGTGGAAAACAAATATATTCGAGGGTTTTCTCGAAGGACTTGATGAATATTTCCCTCAAAGCCAAGGCAAGGCAATGCGAAACGTGCAAAAATTACGAGTTGCTGTTACACGATACGGAATTTCAATGAGAATTTTAAAATAAATATGTAAATGGTATGCGATGCACTTCACCGACGGCATTTCCAAAAAATAACAAAAAAAAACCTCGTTCCATTCTTCTGTTAGTATTTCAATTTTTTTTGTTAATTACCGTATTTTTTAGTATTCGAAGAGCCTTTTAGTAATTTTAGTATAAGCTAAATTTTTTTTTAATTTTTTATTATTTCTATTATTTCTTTTACCTTTAATATTTATTAGTAATTTTTTATTTTTTAGTATTTGTTAGAACTTGTAGAAATTTAATTTTAGTAGGATTTAAGCATTTGAAATTTTTTTATATTTATTTGGCATTAGAAAATGGTGATTTGATTTCGTGTGAATGCAAAAGTATACCGCCAATAGCGTCGGTAAAAAACGCATCGTGTAACAGCACCGCAAACGTTCTTTTAATTATATATTTCTAGTGCAAGTAAATGTTACAAAAAATACTCACCTTCTGGGCAGAAGTGGAAGATGATTACCAAACAGCCAGAGACGTTTCTCTCCAAACCATTTGTCCATAGACAAGCGATCCACAAATTGTTCTTGAAAACTTGTTCTAATTGTTGGCAGTTTTTCTTAGAATTGTCAGCCAATTTTCCAGCATTTCACACGAGTTTGAATTAATTTTTCATACGCGTAATGCGAGACGCGAAAATTACGCGTCCGTTGGCCAAGAAATATTAAGAAACTTTGTTTATATGCCAGAGAGCCGTAGCTGTAGCCGTAGCCTCGTAATTGTAGCCCGTATAATATTTTTACATGCGCCGGCATTGAAAAAAGCCGACAACAGTCACGAGAAGAAGACAATGGTGGGGTTTACGGCGGGAACTGGTGGACTGGGGGTTTGTTGGGGTGTTGGCGACGGTTGACATTGGCAACGGCAGGTCCCCGGCGTTGCAGGGTAGCCGGTAGACCCCCACACGGAATGGGGGTTTGATTTTTCTTGTATTTAAGTTATTAATAGTGTTTGTTGTTTTAGTTGTTGTTGCTGCTGCTGCTGCTCCGTTGTCAATCCTGTTGTCATTAAAAACAAACAACAAAATTTGTAGAAAACTTTACGCTTTGATTTCGAATATTCATGCAAAGTCTATGGGTCTATTGGGTGTGTTTCTGTTTCTTTTTTGTTTTGGCTTGGAATGAGTGTCAGGAAAGTTGCGTGAATCGGTGTATGTGATGGCAAGCGATTACATTGGGCACACACACGTGTCGAGGGGTCCTATAATTAGAATTGATTGATGGAATTGGTGGGGGCTACGACGCTTTTCTATAGTTAATGTTCAATGGAGCTGTAATCATGGATAATGAGAATTTAGGACAATTTTAAGCGTGTCAAAGTGAAGGTCAGTGAAAGATTATCTGGTAAGCGAATGTGGGGATGGTATGGGGTATTTATGGAGGTATTATTTGTATTATTTATGTATTTTGTTGGGGCTTATTTAATGCTAATTAAAGCACACAATTGACTTTTAGCTGAAAATGTATCTCTTTTTATTTTATTTATTTTTCTTTACACTTTTTATTTTCTTTACAGTCCCCCCGCCTGTCATGAGAAGATCTATTTAAGCAATATGAATGAGCTTAACAATTTAAATACTGAGTAAGTGTTTTGGAATTACAGAAATATATTTTGATTTATTGTTGCTATGATTTCTGGCACTTCGACGAGACATTCCCAATCTCCATTTATCCTCTATTTCACTTTGCGCAATCCCCTGCATTCAGAATTGCATGCGGGCGGTGCACACCACCCCACAATCAAAGCTTATCGACGAAGCCACCATAAGACGGAGGTCTGCTCAATCAGAGAGCGTTGAACGGTGGAAAAGCTTTCACCAGAGACCCAGACTAAAGCACTGCCAATACATAGTCGTACATTTGTTAAGCCTGGCAATGCCGAACCCCCCGAAGCATTTTTCGGTTGTCAAAGCAACGGCACGGCAAATGGCTAAGTGGCAACAGTGGTAGCTGCTGCTACACCGGCAACAACACAACAAAAGCGGGCATGCAGATAAAGGAAAAGGGAAACAAATACATAAATACATACATACATATGTACAATATATAAATGGGCGGTTACACGTGGGACGGGGAAACCAAAAGCCGGTCAGCATATGGCAAGAAAAAAAAACTCTTGCGTAGGATACGCTCTCACATATGCAAGCACTTTCACGGCAAAGCTAAACGGGGCCTGGAGACGATCAGTGTTACACCGTGGAGAGTATTTTTTACACCAATATTAGATGATTTTTGGCGCCAACTGAACGTAGATTTATTATGTTTATTTTTTAATTATTCTGCATATTTATTTTTAAAATATACATAAATATAAGATATTTTTTCTATATAACTTATTTTCCCTATTTTCTATAAGTTTTTTGTTTTGTTTTAACAGCAGGCTTCTTTACACTGCATGGTGCCTCCTGGTAAAAATCCTTTTATGCAGTCTCCTCCTTGAAGCCATAGAAAATCTTCTTTTGTCTGCCCTGAAATGCACTTTCACACAAAAAACTGACGCTGGCAAATTCCACGGTATCAGCGCAGCTCGTACACATTTGTGGTATTAGTTTTTGTTGTTGTTGTTGTTGTTGTTTTGTTTTGTTTTATTTTATTTGTTGAATGCGCTTTAGATTTTAAGCTTTTGCTGCTTTTTTATGCTTGAGGTTTTTGTTTTGCTTTTTTTTTAATGCAATTTTACACAACACCACACAACACAACACAAAGGCAGGGCCAAAACGAGATAACCTTTAAAAATGCTGCCGCCTCGTATGCCGCTCGTATGCTAAAACTAAATAACGGCATTAGGAGCGAAATGTGCAGCCCAGGGGATATAACAGGAGGTAGGAACCCCCCAGAACCGGAACCAGAACCAGACCCCACTGCAAGTTCGAGTGCACCGCTCTCCACTTTACATGTGCGTGTGCGTGTGTATGTGAAGGTAATACCAATAGCCTTCTCCCTCTCTCCCTTAGACGTCTCCCTAGTCTGCTCTCGCTCTTGGGTGCTTCAGGGGCTTACACTCACTGGCAAAGTACCCGTTGCCCTGGACAACGACAAACGGCACTTGGAACCCAACTTGGCAAAAAAACCCAAAAACAAATGCAAATTGTGTGGGGTGCGTTCTCTCTCTCTCGCTTTCTCTCGCTCTCTCTCTTTTCTTTCTCTCTATTCTCTCAATGTCTCTATTTTTTACGCTTCCCCCTCTCTCTATCTCTCTGTGTCTCTGGTACCTTTCTCTCCCCTTTTCGCTCTCTCTCCCTCGGAGGACTGTCTCTTTTACTCACGTGTTACAAATGAGCGCAATTGTTTTCCGTGTGCAACAAATTTTTTATGATTATCCCCTTTGTTTGGTAACCCCCATTTTGGGTACCCTACTATGTGGGGTATGATGATTTTTTCGCAGCTATTTTTTTTATTATTTTTACCCTTAAAAGTATGCTCTGAATTTGTTCCATAAAGTGAGGATCGATTTGGTGTCGCTTTCAGCCCTGGTATCAATGTTTTATAGTCCACATTTATAGGGTATCGTAATCTCTGTACCTAAATCTCTGTCTCTAAATTTTGTTGTTGTTTTTGGCTCAGCCACACACTTTGCCTGCAGCTTAAGGTTCTTTACGTTTTGGGTTGTGTTGCATATACGATACTCGGGTACTTTGCGGCATTTGGACAAGCAGCAGTAGCAGCAGCAGCACTGGTGGCAGTGGCACTCGCAGCAGTGGCAGTAGAAGAAAAGCTTCAGCAGAGCAGGATTAACACCTGTTTTGTGTGTGCAGCATAGTGGCAGTGTGGCCGTGTGGCCGTGTGGCCGTGTGGCAGTGTGGCAATGTGGCAGCCAAGCCTCGAATTTATTGTGTTTGTTTACAAGCTTTTTGCGTGGCGCACAATTTTTCGTGTGCTGTAATGCATTTCCCCCCTTCCCACCCTCCGCCAAGTTATGGCAGAGAGAGTGAGAGCCAGCGGCGACTTAACGGAAAATTATGCTTTTGCCACAGATACTCGCAGTCGTAATGTGAAATGGAAAGTGCGCATTTGCGCCATGCCACAATTTGCATTTGCATTAAAAAGGTGCCAACAAAAAGCAACAACAATAATGCGAAAGTTAAAGATATCTGGGGAATGTCCCCCCTCCCCCCAGCTTATATGAAGATGAACTATTTCTGTGGATTGCCCTGTGGTGATACTGCCAGGTGGATTTATTTCAAGCGAAAGCGGTAGAGAGAGATGAGCTCCTCCCTGTAGCTGTGTTAAAACTTTTGCTGCTTCTTTAGCTGGAATTTACTCGTCACAAATTAAGAATTAAATACCTAAGAAAAGCCCCAAACATGTTCATCGCTTTGCTGCATTAATAGACACAATTTATCTTACAATTTTGCGTCATTTAATTGAGTGTCGAAATGGAAAATACATGCAACCAAATGAAATTGTAGCTGTAGCTGTAGCTGTATCTCTGTATCTATTAACCTGAGTGTTGCCTTTTGCATAAGCTGCACTCAAACATACTTTACGCTCTTCACATTTCACACTTGGACCATCAACACACACAGTTCTCACTCTCTCTCCCTGTCGCTGCCTCCTTGCCTGTTGGTCTCTGGCATGGTAATAACATCGATTGGGATACATAAACCATAACGTCATAGCAGCACAGCACTTGGATGGTATCCCTTACTGCCCACCAACTGGCCCCGTCTGCCCCGTCTACAATGCACGGCAAAGCAATTAATGCAAAATGCTGCCCACACGCTATAGAATGGAGATTGCAGCACAGACTTCTGCCTATAGCTTTGTAGCTTTGGCATTGCCCAGAGATGGCAATAAATGAGCGTGCAAGGGTTCGTGATTTTACGTTCATAGAGCGTAATGGAGGAGGCTTTGGGGTACTTATTAATAAAGTAAATATCTAAGAGAAAATATGGAGAAATTAAATTAAAAAATTCGAGATCTTCCTGCCAGATTTTCGCTCTAAATGGCTGCCAAATTGTAGGTCCAGTTAATGCCCAATAATTCCATTTCCATAACCTAATCACGCAACCATCTCCAAAAGCCAGTCATCGTTTTGGGGGCTCTTGCATCTGGGACGTGTCGCCTGCCCTGCGTGCTGTGTGTGTGTGTGTGTGTGGGGGGGGGGGGGGGGGGGGATATTGCACATTGACCGCAGACATTTGCATAGGCATAGGCCTAGGCATAGGGGCCTCTAAACAGGAGTCAACTGGCGCTTATGTTTTGATAGCCATGTAATTTCCGCCCATAAACAAGAGCCATGAGCAAAGGGGAGCAACACTGCGGGCCAGCAGGAGACGGGTGTGTATGTTGAAGGCGTGGCAGTCAGCACCCAGACCAGACCAGATTTCGATTCCGTTTCAGATTCAGTTGGCAGGCATTTGGTTCAAGTGCAAATTGTGTATAATGAAGCTCTCGGGGCCACGAAGTTACCCACGCCGTTTAAGCCAATTGATTGTTTAAGGGGTTGAAGGGGGCTATCATATAACTCCAAGCAATGCTTAATGGGGATTACTTTAGCCAATATATATTCTGTGTGAAATTGTACTCGAAATGCAAGCGCCAAAAAGCTTTCAAATTCCCACCAATAAAAAGCTGCAACTTTGGCAACATTTTAACTTTTACTTTACCAAAAATAAAGCTCTCTCTCTCGTCTCACCGGCAATAAATTCTTTATTAAGAGCCCCAGAAACCCAGACATCTCTGCAGAAAAGTTCTCTGTGGCATCGACTAAAAGTCAAAACTCCCATATATATATCGTAGTTGTGTACGGTACAAATATTTACAACGCTATCAATGCCATTATCAGGCCAACGCAACATAACTTTGCCAGCAACAACAACACAACACTTAAACGAAAAGTTATTAACATAAATTCTTGTACAAACAACCAAGCAAAGGCGAAAACCGAAACTCGAACTTTGTGTCTCGGGGAAAACTCTTGGCCAGCAGAAAAAAAAAAACCAACAAAATGTGAAGAAAACTTTGCCACCGCAAAAGTCAAAAGTGTTGGGGGGAGACACCTTACCACCGCCTGGTCTTACCACCTCATCATCATCATCATCTTTTGGGCCAAAATGTGGAGCATTTTGCTTTGCAGCTATTTAAACTTGTGCCACGTGCACTACCTGCGCGATCGTCTACTCTAGGCGTGGGGCGGGGCGGGCGGTGCGGTGGCGCCACTCGAGTATTTAGAAATTTATTTAAAAGTTGCAGCAAGGGTAGGTCCCCCCCTGTGACCCTTTGCTGCCTGGTCTCTCTCTCTCTCTTTTTCAACAGTTTTCCTTTCACTACGCCCAGTTACGCGCATAAATTGTGTTATGGAAGTATTTTCCAAAGCAAGTTTTTTTCCCCGGGCAGGAAAGAAAGCCAGTGAAAGTTTTCGGTATGCCTCTTGAGTTTTGGTGTTTGAAACAATAAATATATGTAGAAGAGGCTGCAGAGGGTGGGGAGAAAATAATATTGTGGCAAAGGAACTAATCATTCGGAGGTGTGTTAGAGAGCTTAGAAAGAATTTTGCTATTAACCAGAGGAAAAGCAAAGCAATGCAAAGTAAAGCCCTTCTGCTGTTACCAAAATGTTTTTTACGAAGTGGTGCACAAA